TTCCTACCCTCCGGGACAAGATTGATAACCTCATCGGTGGGCACCAGGGCACTTTTCCATCTGTGGATTACCTGCTGCCAATACAGAACCGAAGGATAGTCAGTCAAATCAATCAATATCAATCATCCCCCACACATTACTCACAAGTAACTGTGAGTTAAATACGAGAACCACTAATGTTAGTCTCTAACTGGTCCTTGGACTATATGCCAATCGCAACCAAATCAAAGGGTCATGACCCGGGAGATAAACAGTTTATACACCTCGAAGTTCATTGTTCACTGAAAGGTAGTTTGCTTTCACAGTATAACCAACCAGATACTAAGAACGAAGGTATCCAAAACACATTAGATTGTATCCACAACGTTAGTCTGTGGGCAAACCTAAGATGAACACGACAGTGATCCTGAAACCTTTCTTCAGGCAGTCAAAAGATATAGTATGTAAACAGAAGCATTATATCCTCCAAAACAATCGGCTTCTAGTCCTTGAGGGGTAATTAAACGAGCCCAAGAACTTCCATCCCCACGTGGTGCTGAAGCACAGCAAATACTGGGAATGTTGACCTGCTATTCACGATGGATTCCATCCCTTTCTGACAAGATCCGTCAGCTGGTGAGGAATAGATTATGCCCAAGGTCAGAACATGTTTGAGTCGTATTCGAAGCACTGAAGCAGGATATTGAGAACGCTACTGCCGTAAAAGTGGACTACGACACATCGTTGATAGTTGAAACCGATGCCACAGATATCTCCCTTGTTGCAGCACTTATCCAAAATCTGCGACTAGTTGTCTTACTTTCTCGAACGTTGACATCTAGATACCAGGAGGCATACGCAATGGTAGAAGCGGTCTGGAAATGGAAATGGAAACACCTCAACTGGATTACAGACCAAAGATCAGTTACTCTCGCGTACGACGCAATACAGAAAGACAAAATCCAACGGAGGCGACTCGAGTTGAGTGAAGTCAACTAAGACGTGGTATACAGGCCCAATGAGGACAATAAAATAGTGGGCACTCTCTCGCACAATGTCTGCGCAACAATCACCGACATCGGGAAGTTGCAATAACTTCACGGTTCATTGTGTCAGGATGGTTCATCTCGTCCGATCCAAGAGAATTAGCATTGCTAGACGCTCTGTATTTACTGAGATCCCTGTTGTGCGCCGCAGCAAGCAACAAAACAACAAATAAGCGATACACCCGCCACGCCACTACCGGATCATTACTCCCGTTCCAGCTGACTGCTCCAAGTCCTGTCCTTGTGAAGCGGTAGACCAGGTTGTCAAAATATACAATATACGAAGCAAGTAGGTCGACTAGCACGTAAACGATCACTAGTGGAAGTCACTGAGGAGCAACTGCCAGGCCCAGCTCTATACACGGAGCATTAACTGACACCAGATAACCCTGAAACTGGAAATGGCACAAACGAATCTGACAAGAGGCCAGATATCATCGAATATATCACCATCTATAACACCCGGAAAAAATGTAACAATCTTTACAATCACTGTAACATGTATAACCTATCTCTACATTTTAGCCACTATTTTGTAATTATTAGAGAAGTAAAGCACTCAATACTCCTCCCGATCTCCTCTTCTCAGTCTATGAGTGTATGCGCACAACACCGCAAAAATGGTACTAAAATGACGTTCGGAGGAAATAGCTCCCCCGAAATCGAAGGATTTGCATAACATGCATTAGCCAAACACACGTAAAGAGATGGGAAGCAAATATGCATGGAGTCAGTTAGCATACGAAATCGACTGACCAAATAAAGGTACTTCAAAGTTTCGCTAAGAAAAAAGCTTTCCATACGGTCCTCTTGAGATTTGTCTTCCACATTGTGAATGGTGGCGAAGCCACATC